AATCTAAGGTGGTACAACTTAATTTAAAATAAATAAATCTTTATTTTATTGCAACTCTCTTCAAAATCTCAAGTTTAACTTTAATTTTAAAATTTAAAAATCTATTGTTTAGCTTTTTTACTCCTTTATTTATATGTCAGAATACAAATTTAAAATTTTTATGATATTATCTAACTTTAATATAAATTTAAAACTACTAAGTTATTATAATTATTTTTTATTTTTATTTTTTTGGTGGTAAATATCCACTTGTTAGAATACTCAAAACCCCCAATTAGCTAGTTTTGTTACTAAAATTTGACCTTAAGGAACAAAAACATTAAATCAACTTTGTCTTATTGCAATCAAATTTCTATAATCTTCTAATTCTTGAAGTTTACATTATATATATTCGGCCAAAAATTTATAACTTTAATTATTAATATTTATAGAGTTTATTATTTTTAAAAAATTACATTGAATTTTAATTTTCCCTATATTTTTTTATTGAAAAAAGCTATTGGGTTACATTACAGGCTTGGGCTGTCTAATTTCTCAATAGGGCAGAGTTGGAACGTTTAGATAAGGCCCAGTATCAGAATGGGTCGAGCTCGGGCCACTACACCATTAAAATATAGGGAAAATTACTATGTAGTCCTATGTAGGGGATCTATTTCCCTTCTAATCCCAATATATTTTTAATAGATTAATAGGTCCACAGTTTTTTAAGTTTTATACCCAGAGGTCCCGTTTTTTATTTTCTTATTTTGTAAATGACTGTATTACCCTTTGTTTTGAGATCTATATATACGTGAAAAATCAATTTTTGCTCCGTTCAAAAAAGAAAATCAAATCTTCACATCTGCGATCTCGATTTCTCTTCATTATGGCGATCTCATTGTACTGTGTGGTCGATCTCATTGTGCTGTGAGGTGGATCTGGTTGTGCAATCTGAATCTCTGTGTACAGGCGATCTCTGCGTACGTTCTCTTTCTCCCTCTTTCTCACTCTCTGTCTTTCTCTATCTCTCTCTGTCTTTGTCTCTCTCTGTGTATCTGGTTTGTATCTATCGATACATACATATACATACATATATATATATATATCTGTGTGTGTATGTGGTTTGTATCTGTTGATACATATATGTATATATATATATATATATATAGATAAGCAAATTTGCGTGATATCTGGTTTGTGTTTGGCAATGTTGTTTTAGTTCTTTGTTTTGTGATAAATTTTGTTTGTTTGATACTTATTTTATTTGATTTTTGTATGTGATATAGTGTAATGATTTTGATTTTGTTGATTTTGTTTGTTGTGTAGTGTAATATGTTTTGAAGTTGTAGTTTGGAATTGTGAATTCTGGTGTTTTGATACTGATATATTGTAAGTGTATAATTTTACAGTTTGAAATTGAGAATTGTGCACTGTTGGTACTGATATGTTGTAACTATATAATTTTGCAGTTTGAAATCTGTGAACAATTGGTTGTTGGTTTGTGATTTTGTAGTATGGAGGGGTGTTTCATGTTAATGTGCAAATACAGTAATTGTTATGCTGCTATTAAGATTAGTGAGGGATGTAGTTATGATGAAGTTGCTAAGAAAATATGTGCGAAGTTCAAGGAGTTGAGTGTTGGTAACTTTTGTTTGTTTTTCTCTATTCTTGGATATTCTGATTGTATTGTTGAATGTGATGATGATTTGTGGAATATGCTGTCAATGGTAGGTGGTAGTGGTTGTCATGTTGTTGATGTTGTTGTGGGTGATAAGAGAATTGTGGAAGTTGATGATGGTAATTCTTGTAGGATTGATTCTGTAATTGGTGAGAGTTCTTTGGTTAACGATTGTGATGATTTTGGTGGTTTGTTGCCTAGTTTTTATCCAGAACTAGAGAGAGTTTTGTTGTCTGCTAGTTGGAAGGGGATTATACATAGTGTTGGTCAAGAATTTGAAGGTGGAGTGCCGGCGTTCCGCATTGTATTGGCTAAGTATGCAGTTGAGTGTGGTTTTGCAGTGAATTATTTAAAGAACGATATAACAAGAGTAACTGCTGAATATATAATGAAGTCGTCTACGGGTTGTAAATGGTTTGTGCATGGAAGGGTGTTGATGAATTCCGGTATTTTTTTTATAATGAAGTTGGATAATGTGCATACTTGTGGGGTTGTTGCTCGTAGATCCTGTAGCAAAATGGTTGGTTCTAGACTTGTGTCTGATATTGTGCAAAATGATATTAGTGATAATCCGTTAACTCGTCCTATTGAAGTTAAAAAAAAGTTGAAGAAGCAATATGGTATAGATGTTTCTTATCGGGTTGCATGGTTAGGAGTTGATAAGGCAAAAGGTGGGTTGTTTGGTGATTTTGCAACTTCTTTTGACCAATTTTGATGGTACCTTGAAACAGCTATGAGAACGAACCCGAGAAGTGTGTTTGAATTAGATGTGGATGAAAGTAGTGGGTGTTTTCGGAGGTTGTTTGTGGCATTTCATGGATGTCTGTATGGTTTTCAATTTTGTCGTCCGTTGTTGTTTGTTGATGGTAAATTCTTGAAGGGGCGTTACAAGGGGCATTTGCTTGCAGCAACATTAAAGGATGGTAATCAAGGTATGTATTTATTTGTAGTTAGTATAGGTTTGGTTTGTCAGTGTGTTATTGTATTGTGAGTCTGCTAATTTTTTCAGTTTCATATTATTTTGTTTGCAGGTCTGTTTCCTTTGGCTTTTGCGATTGTTGACGCTGAAAATCAAGATAATTGGATGTGGTTCTTAAGTCAGTTGTTAAAGGGTGTTGGTTCAAGCCGGGGATTGACATTTGTGTTGGACCGTCAACATGGTTTGCTAGACGCTCTTTCAGTGGTTTTTCCCAATACACATCATGCATATTGCTTGAATCATTTGAAGAGAAATTTGATTAACATTGGTGGGACTTCGTACTAACTATAAGCTGAGTTTGATAAAAATATTAGTTAAATGTGCTTATGCACCAACGGTTGCGTCTTTCCAACATTATATAGAGAAATTGAGGCATATTGTTGGGAATGGTAGAGTTGATAGTATGTTGGATGGTTTGCAAAATGATAAGTGGGCGAATGCATTTTTTTAAAGGGAAACGATATAGTGAGATGTCATCTAATGCTGCTGAGTCTTACAATAATTGGATTGGTGGGGCCCGTGAGTTGCCTATTATTTGTATGGTTGATATGATTAGGGTTCAAATCACGACTCAATTGTCGAATAAAAGAGCTGAATCTAAAAGATGGACTATGAAATTGTGTCCAGTTATGGAAAAGAAGTTGGTGGACTCTTTGGAGCTAGCTAAGTCTTGGGATGTGATTGTTGCTAGTGATACTGTGCTTGAGGTTCATTCTTCTATTTCTTTTTATGTTGATATTGGTAGACAGACTTGTTCTTTCCATGAATGGCAATTGAATGGTTTTCCTTGTTGTCATACTGTGCGTGCTTTGCGTAGTAGTGGTAGAGATGTATACGATTTCATTGATCCTTTTTTTCTTGTAGATTTTTTTAGAGAGTCATACAAGGAATCTGTTTATCCAGTGCCTTCAAGTGAGAGATTTGACTTTGATGGTGCCAGTAGTTCGATTATCAAACCTCCTATAACGAAGAAGCAGCCTGGGCAGAACAAGAAGAAGAGGATACCTTCTAGGGGTGAGAATGTGAAGCAAATCAAGTGTGGGAGGTGCTTGAAACATGAGAATCACAATAAGAAGATGTGCAAGGCTGCTATTTGAGGCCACAGTCTATTTTTTTGGATTTGTATTTGAATTTGAGGAATTATGATAATAAAAAATGTGATACTTGGTATTATGGAAGTAATGAATAAAGTTGGTTGAATTATTTTTTATTTTTTGATGTGTTCTTTAGTTATTGAAGTTGTTTTGTAACAATCTTGTTTTGTTTTTTATTCTTTTTTTTTTGTGGGTTTGGTTGGTTTTATTTTTTTGGAATGCAGAGAAGGTTGTTAAAAATTTCTTATTGAAACTGTATAATATTGAAATGTAGTTTTACTACATGATTCATTTATTTCATATTTCATAGCGAGTTCAATTTTGAAATGTAGTTCATCTATTTGTTGAGTCATGAAATTGGATGCATAATTGTGTAGCATAAATTTTGTTTGAGTAATGAAACTGTATAATTTTACAGTTTTAAGAATTATAAGAAACAACCTGATGAAACTGCATAATTTTGTAGTTTTAAGAATTATTAGAAACAACCTGATGAAACTACATAATTTTGCAGTTTGAAGAATTATTAGAAACAACCTTTACTGTATAAAAATATATGCAACCATAAACAAGTACACAAACAATCAGAAGTACAAGCACAATAATAATAACAAGAAGAAGAGCAACAACAATATCAATGACAACAATCATTTTCACCATAATAACCAGAAGAAGATTATTCCCAAAAGTATATAAAGTACTTGTCACATGTTAAAAAAAAAAAAAGGTACAAAGAGATGTTCACTTGAATATTTGTATTGTCAAGAAGTTTGTTCATTGTTTCTATGGTTTGGTATGTTTTGTCAACATTTGGTAGTGCACGAGTTTCCAAAATTGGTTCTCATCATTGAGGAATTGACTGACGATTTCTGCTCGAAATTTGACCCACTCAGTTGGTCGAAGTGATTTCTGCACAGGTTGCCAGTTGATATATTGGTTGATAATATTGCAGACAGCAATTGCACAATCATTCTTGCAAATTTTTAGATGAAGTTAATTAGTTAGGTAAAACTGCAAAATTTAGCATATTGGAAGATTAGTTTATTGATTTTGTATCTTACGAGTGTGGGGTTTGTTGTGGGCATTCCTCAATTGATGCAATTACTGTCTCGCACTCTTGAGATGATAAAATGTTTCCTTGATTGCTGAGTAATGCTTTATTCCATCTCAGTTGATGTTGTTGCTACAAAATAGTTAGTGGGTGTTTTTGTTAGTTATAATGATGAGTTGAGATGTTTTTAAATGAATAAAACTAAGTAGGAAATTTTATTTAACTTAAAATTTCCTTTGCAATTTCAAAGTGCTTGTTATGGCAATCCTTTGCTGGTCTCAAAGAGTCATAGTGTCTCTATATCCCATCAGCATTGTCAAAGACCACAATTGTCCAATGGTTGTCATGGTTGATTGGGAAATGGATATATCTGTTTTTCATTGCTTCTGGAAAATGGCTATCCATCATTTTTTCTCTCAGTGCTTGATCTTGGTTTTGTAGTGGAGTCTGTAAGTTATATATATGTTTGAAATATGTTATAAAACTATGTAGTAAGACATGTTAAGAAAGTAGAAAATTTTGCAGTTGAAAGGTATGTTAAGTTTTGCTTACATTGATGAGTGTTGAGAAAACGTAATATCTTCCTGCATATGAATTTCTTGCAAAGGCTAGATCATTCTTCTCAAATTCTTCAATGGTTGGTTGGAGTGCCAATTTCTTTTCTGAGAAGGCATCAATGACCTGAAACATGTTATATATGAGAATGTGTTAGGTTTGTGGAATAGGTTATTGAATATGAACAAAAACTGTAAAATTGTGCAATTGGAGACCTACATTCCCATATAAGGGTTCCATGTTGGTCAATCTGCATATATCTCAAAAGTATACGCAATTTTCATCTTCACTGCTAGACCAGACACAAGCACTTGATTGTGTGTTGTTGATGAGTTGAATTTGGTCTTGGTCTTTTTGGATAGGCTATGCCAAACCTTGTTTGTTTTGCGGCATGAAATGGCGAGTGGCTTGTTTTGGATTGATTCTTCCTTGAAATCATCATCACTTTCCAATACTTGAAATTGTGTCTTCTCTTGATTGGCATGCTCTTTTGGGTTGGTTTCAGCAGCAACTGTTTTGTCTCGGCCAATATCTTCTGGTATCTTTTCTTTCTGTTGTTGTTTTGCTTCATGAGCACCCTCTTTTTGCTCAGGTTCTGTAGCAGGTTCTGTCTTTGTTTCGATTTCTTCTTTTTTCTTTTCACTCTTCTTCTCTTTTTCTTCATCGGTACCTTCTGTTGGTTTGGGTACATCAGCAGCAGTTTGTGTCTTGTTCCTTGTATCTTCTTTGGCTTTTGTCATTGGTTGGTATTCAAAATCTGGGTCATGTGCTTGTTTTCTTGACTTTTGTTTGATTCTCTTGACCATTGATCTTTGTTGGAGACTGCCAATTTTTTTGGTGCACATTTCCTTCAATTGATCTTTTTTTTTACGCAATTCAGCCATGAATTTTTGATCCATATCTTGCATTTGTGCTCTCATGGCTGATATGAGCTTGTCTTTGTCGTCCTCTTTGGTTGGTGTTTGTGGTTGGTCATGACCTATAAAAATGTTGGATTGTGTTTTAGTTAGTTTAATTAAATTTTGCAGTTTGCTTTAGTATTAGACAATAGTTTACCTTGTGCATGAAATATGTCAGATTTCTCTTGGAGTTCTTCTTGTTGGTTTGTCAGTTCTTGTTCATTGACTTCTTGTTGTTGGTTTGTTTGTTGTTCTTCTTGTTCTTGTTATTGGTTTTCTTCTTCATCAGTGTTTTCTGGTTGATCACCTTTTGCTTCTTGTCTTTCTTCTACTTCATCATTGTCTTGTTGTTCATCAGGTTCTTCTTCTTCTTCAGTTTCTTCTTTATCAGCTTCTTCTTCATCAGTCACTTGTTTTTTTTCTTCATCACTCTCTTTTTCTTGTTCATCACTTTCTGGTTCTTCTTGTGGTTTTTGTTTTCTTTTTTTTTTTGTTGTTTTTCTTGTTCTGATTCTGATTCTGATTCTGATTCTGATTCTGATTGATGTTCTTCTTCGAGAAAGTCATCCTCATCACTGTCTAGAAGTCTTTTTTTTGTTGTTGCTTTTGTTTTCTTTTTTCGCTTATTGTCCTTTTTGTGGTCATGTTTCTTTGCTGAAGAGTATGTTGATGTGTTTTGATTGATATGCAATAACTGTATTTCTTGTTCAATTGGGGTTAAAGCACTTTGGTTAACCTGCATTGGAACAATGTGGCATATATTTGTAATACTGTAAAATTGGTCAGTTTCATAAGATGAGTTGTACTGTGAGTAATGTGGGTTAAGTGTCGAAATATATTGCTTGAAACTGAAAAATTTTACAGTTTCATAATATGAGTGATGTGAAATAGATTTGTGCGTTTAAA